AACAATAGGAGAATTGTTCGACGTGTGTGTCTATGAGTCTGTCTGGTTTGCCAGGTAAAAACTCAGTAAACACATTCCCGCGGAAACGAAGAATTGTTGAAGGCGTCATTTTCTATGCGGTCCGTGCCATATCAAAGGAAGGTAGGCGATTTGTTCTTCCAGAACTTCTTGTTTCCTCATGGTCTATATACTGGCAAACAAAATACAAAAACTCCGTGGCTTAAGGCCGCAAGCGAACTATACCGACAGTGCGAACGCCGCTTGTCGGCGAAGTTAGTGCCAACTTTTGCGGATAGAGGGTGTCGCGTGGTCAGCGCAACGAATTCCCACTGCCGTTAATTTCGGTTTTCTAGACCGGAGCCGCTATTTCATTGAAGTAGCTTCTCAATTATCCTCATAAGTCTGAGTGGACCCCGTCCCAGACCTACTACTTCTCAGAAAATCTGGTAGAGCGGCGAATCGAACCCGGGACCTCCGGATCTTTAGCGAGAAACTCTGACCACTAGACCGCAGAGGCGGTCGTCAAGCAATATATGCGTACAGGAAAATTTGTGAGAAGTCAGGCAATGCTGTGCATTCTTATGTTGCGACCTGGGGCTAAAACCGAGTGTGAGTTTATCAGCAAGTTTGTTTTTAGAAAAAGAGCCGCTGTATGTAAATGTATTTCTGGGAGACGGTTTATTCTATGTATGTGTGTTATATGGCTATGTGTGCATTACGCCTGCACTGTGGCAGTTTCACGCAGGGTCTACTTAAGAAGCTGGAAACTGTACAGGCTGAAAGAAAATGTAACTTAACTTCAGTGTTTTAACCCAGGAAGCGAGGAATGAGTTAAAGGTATAAAAGATGCGAAAGAAAGAGAAAATAAGGAGTGAAGGAAGGAGTTATGAAGGAAATAATTTCGTGATGAATTTCAAAGGCTGTTTACACTTGCAACTATTTGTTAATGAGGAGAAACCCTGTACCTGGTTGTTAGTTATTTGATTACATAATTAGCCAGATGGACATTCAATTATGTAATTACAGGTATAGCTAATTCGTCCATTCGGACGTCCAAGAATTGCAAACGAAGAGAATGGACTTCTGGCCTGTGACACCGTCCAGTCCAGTCCAATCTAGTACAGAGAGCTCAGAGGACCCCAGTCTCCACAGCCACAGCCGTGGGGACCTCAGATCCACCAAACTTTGAATGAACTTCAGTATCTTCGGAAATCTACGAGTACGTGTATGTTCCGGTCCTATATTCATCTATCTTATCTGTCTAACTGTCTGCCTATGAGTGTCTGTCTGTCTGTCTATCTATCTATCTATCTATCTATCCGTCCATCCATCCATCCATCGGTCCATCCATGGCTCTACAGCCCTAGTGGACACTGGCCGCTTTTATCAGTTTCTTAATACTATACAGAGTCGGGAGGACTCCTTGGACGAGTGATCATCCCGTCGAAAGGCCGCTACCTACACAGAGGACAACACAAACACAGAATAAACGCACACAGACGTCCATGCCTTGAGTTGGATTCGAACCCATGGTCCTAGCGTTGGAGCGAGCGAAAGACTGTTCAAGCCTTAGACCGCACGGCCCCTCTTATCGACCAATATCTCAAACCAATATCTCTGAACATTTTGGTTTGTACATGTGTACATCTGACGAGAAAAGGTTAGTGTACAGGTGCGTAATGTAGCAGCCAGCTCCTCTTGATGATTTCTCTGCCGGGACACAATGCCGATATACACGTATAATATCGAAGCAAATCAATTTACATTTGCCAGTAAGTCAAAGCTAGAGGGGTCGGTTCGAAAAGATTCAGGAACACAGATCTACTGATCTATTTTCTGCATCCCCAACAGAAGTTCCGTTTTCTCACGTTATGGAGAAAGTACTGTATATATGAGTTTTCGTTTTTCCTGTCAAACACAACAAACACCAAATAACTCACTCACATTTTGCTGTGCATAACTGAGTTTATTGGTCGCAAAGCGTCGCTGTCACTCATGTATAAAGTAGTAACACGCAACAGAATGCATTCCTACAAGATCACGGAGAAAGGGCCGTTCAGAAAGCGAGAGCTGGAGGTTGTGACGGGGTCATGACAGCGCCGATATACGAATCCGCACTCGCAAAACCTATCTCTCTAAAATGTTGTGGCAATGGATGCTTCCTTATTCCAACATTATTTGCAGAGTTTATTTGATAGAGAAGAGTCGTCCACAACAGAGTGGTCTCGTGGTTTTAGCCTAGTATTCGTATCAAAAATGTCCCGAGATCCGTCCAAACCGGTAAACAAAAGCTGTCTCTGTAGCAGACCGTGAAGGCCCATAGGGTTGTGAGATGTCGAGGCTCCCACATTTTCTTCAGTCAATGGTGGTGAGGCTGTCATCCTTACGCGCCGGCCTCCCTTTACCCGCATGAAGATTACTAGTATTCATTTCTGTTAGGGGTTGAGTGGACCCCAGTACCACAGTGCGGCTGGGAGGGTTAGGTCAATTGAAAAAATCCACCTCATCGGGAATCGAACCTGCGACCTTCAGGCTTGTAGCATAATGCCTCAACCAACTTCGCTACCGTGTGTCCCTGGGTTCAACAGAGGACATTATAATTAAAAATAAATAGGTAAACAGAATCTGTCAGTATAATGACAGCTAATGATTTGATGAGAGGCGCACCGCGAAGGCTAAAGGTCTCGTGAGGACTGTGACGCATGTATTTTAGGCAATGGACAGTGTCATCAGGACTGACTGATAAGTAACCTTTTGAGAAGCCGACGGCCGCTCTGCTACTCAAGAATTCCGCAACATTTTATGGCAGCCGAAGGTTCATTACAGTGTTCACAAGAGCTCTTCACTGGTACTCATCCTGACCCAGATAATCCAAATCCACTACCCCAACCTATTTCTCTAATATCTCTTTAAATTCTGTTCTCCCATTTAATTCTCTGTCTTCCTAGCGGTCTCTTTCTTTCACGTTTCCCTGTGAATATTTTGCAAGCACGTCTCTCCCACGTGTGCTACCTGCCCTGCCCCTCTCGCCCTCCTTGACGTGATCATTCTGATATTATTTCAGCGAAGAGTGCAAATTAGGAAGCTCCTCATTATGCAGTTTTCTCCAGCCTCCTATTATTAGATCAAAATATTCTCCTCAATGCCATGTTCTCATACACCCGCAGTATATGTTCTTCCCTTAAAGTGAGAGACCAAGTTCTACACCAGTACAAAACTAAGGCAAAATTACAGTTTTTTTTGTTTTAATCTTAATTTGTTATCAGATAACGTATAGAAGGTTAGAATAGATCACAGAAGAGTTATGTATAGATAAACATACCTTACTTACAATAACGCATAAGCGGCCTCCGTAGTCTAGGGGTAACGTTCCCACCTCGTGACTCAAGGTACGTGGGTTCAAACCCGGCGGAGGTCGTGGAATTTTTAAGGGCGGAAAAATTCAGGGAACAAGTCCTCCGGGAGGGACTCTAAGCCGTCGGTCCCGTGTCTCAAGGGGACCTCTGAACTAAATTCAGGACATTTCCCGCCCAACAGTAGTCTCTAACGCCTCTGGTAGATGGGGGAAGCATCGCGATACCGCTGAGCCAGTAGAGGCCGAACTCGCTGGCTGAGTCAGGAGTGATGGCACACACCATTACCGGTAGGGTATAGAGACTGGTAGAATATCACAGGGGGACGCACAATGGACCAATATCTGGTCTAAGTGCATGGGGAAAACCCACCCTCTCTAATAACAACAACAACAATAACGCATGGTTCAACAATAAAGAAACTGGAAACCTAGGATGTCATATATAATTATAATGAGTTAAGTTCTTTATCGCTTTACTTGATAAAGTGAGTGGTCAGTTTAATTCTGAGGCCGTTTTACCCCAGAGCTAAAGCCTACAGTACCCGCTGGACATGGTAGCCGGGACGACACAGTCGGTATAGCTACGGGAGTTCGGAATTTGATTCCCGGTAAGGGCAAGAATTTTCTCTTCTCTATAATATCCAGACCAGTTCTAGGGCCCACCTAGCCTCGTGTGCAGTGGGTATCGGTGGGCTTTCCATAGGTGTAAAGCGGCCAGGACGTGAAGCTGATCACTAAGCTCCAACTAGTGCCAAGTTCAAGAAGACGTGGATCTATACATCCACTCTTCCATGCGCCTTCATGGCGTAGTGCTGAATGAGTCAAGTACAGGGACAACTTTAAATTTTACCCGCTCGACAAGAGGGTCGGTGCCCCCTCCCCCAGAGGCGTTCTGGGTACTGTAGAGAAAGAGAAATATCTGCCTTTCCCGGGAATTGGACCCAAATACCTCACTCACCCAGTCGGTACAGCAGTTAACGAAACCGANGAGGCGATACGTTTCTCCGAAAGGTCGGTTAACACCACATATACACGGTGCCAAATCCCAGAGGACTGCTTTCTTCATAGTCACCGCCGTGAAAGCCTCAAATCTTACGAAACCGAACTAATTTGTCGAAAATAAAATCTACAATATTGGATACGGTTAAACTGCGGAGAGACAGCAGAGGCGCGACTGAATACCCATGGAGACGGTGTCATGTAGCAGGTACCCTGCATATTTGAACTACCGGATTACAGTGTGCAGATCTCGCAGTGGTGTGCCGCACGCCGCACTCAGCCTTGATAACATTATAATGTGACGTTACGCGAAAACAATACAATAGTACGTTTTGTTTGGTCCTGTATCCTATAAATCCATTTTTTTAGCTAGTGATCTAAAAGAAAGATAACCACACAAGCCCCTATCACTTCCTGCTTTAAATAATAATAAATTAAAAACACAATCATATATAGCCATTTGTGCAAAAATCGAAGGATTTCCTTTCTCCTTGCTCTTGACCTTCCCTTCACCCCACTAAACGTCCTGCTGTACTTCCCCTCCACACTCAAGATCAACACTTTCGTCTGACCGTTTCGTTGGCCGAAGGGAGTCCGTATATAAAGGCGACGACCGCGCCACGGGTTTACCTTTAGTTGTGTGCAGGGGACTGAGTATCGCATGCGCTAGGATTTGCCTGCAGTATATACCGATAGGCAGGCATAACCTAGCCGCTGGGAGGATTTCTATCAAGTAGTTCTTTTTATTTATCTGAAGAAAATAGTAGTCGAAATCCTCTAGCAAGCAAGTGACGATACAATAAAGTGTTTTACCGTGGTTTTAGTGTTTTTTTAGTGCTACTGAAATAATATTCTGTTGAATCATGCCACCACAAGAAAAAATTCCGCCCCAGGAGAACGGACGTGATGAAAAGAGAATGTCAAAAGAACCGGCTATTAAAGAGTCATACCCGGGAAGTACCCATGGACATTCGGAGGAAGACGAAACGTCACAGGTTACTGGAGAGCTTATGCGGTATAGTGAAATGACGTCACTAGATAGGATACCTGATATAACGGCTACAAACGCAAGGAAAACAGAAATAGGAATCAGTAGTGGAGTGGATAGCACGTGGGCCACAGTGAAAATGAAGATGTCAAGACAGTCTTCTCATACTGACACAGGCTTGAAGGAGACGGACGCGAAGTCCGGTGAAAAACTGTCCCTTCCTCCTGCATCACCGACTAGAAGCCCGGTTCAAGATGAGAAACCAGTGATGGATTTTGATGACATGTTACCCCACGTTGGGGAGTTCGGGCTGTACCAGAAGATTCTGTTCACAGCTCTGGCCCCCTTTGCTTTCTTCGTAGCTTTTGTATACTTCACACAGATCTTCATTACTGTGACACCAGAGGGTTACTGGTGCAACATTCCGGAACTGGATAACCTCACAGCGGAGCAGAGGTGAGTCAAACCATTACCAATGCAGATGCAGGAAGTCTGGGACCTTGGGTTATGCCACGTTAACGCTAACACCAGTTTTAGAGAGTTGTACTAGAGAAAAAATTATTTAATATACCAGTCATAGAAATATATTCTTTAGTGTGTAAAATCAATGAGCATGATAGGACCGCCTCCGTGGTCTGGTGGTCAGAGTTTCTGGCTACAGATCCAGAGGTCCTGGTTCGTTTCCCGGCGCTACAAGATTTTCTGAAAAGTAGTGGGTCTCGAACGGGGTCCACTCAGCCTCGTGAAGATAACTGTGGAGCTATTTCAAGGTCTATAAAACCGAGATTAACGACCGTGGGAACCCGTTGCATTGACCACGCGACACCCTCTATCTGCTAAATTTGGCACTAACTTCCACGACAAACGGCGGTGGCTCGGTCGGTATAGTTCGCTTGCGGACTAAAACCACGGAGCTTTTTTATAAATATGATAATAGTAAATTTTCGTTTCCTCACTCAGGTGAATATAAAGATGACGGTCTTCTCTAATGTGACTCTGTGAAATTTCGTAGATAGATATTGGTGCCTCCTCCATGTACCCTGAAAATGGAGGCAGCGTGTTCTTCCGAAACGTTGGTACCTATCTAACAAGTTACATGACGCCACATTCCAGAACACCGTAATCTTCGTACAAAGATAAAATTATCCCTGTTGTCAACTAATTAATCTCTACTCCATGAAGGCATATGGGGGAGTGGACGTATAGATCCACGTTTTCTTGACAGTGGCATTAGTTGGAGATGTGTGGTCACCTTCACGCCCCTGTCGCTTTACCCCCCGGGGAAAGAGCCCCTGGTTCCATTGGATAGGAGGTTGGGTGGGCCCCAGGGCCGGTCTGGACGACGTGGAGAAGAGAACTTTGACCCCTGGACCGTCCAACTCGTAGCCAGTCGCTATACAGACTTCGCTAACCCCGCTCCTATGTAATCTTCGTGTCATTAAAAACTGCATTGTCTTTAATTGAATTTCCTTTTACGTGTCAGTTTTACAAATAGCACTATAACCATATCCTTGTTCGCAACGTACAGTGGAGTAGTTACGGATGTGAATGTAACGCACATTCAGGCCTTCGGTAGGTATTTGTTGGAATAAACGCGTAAATAGGATTCGAAAAAAATTCAATTTATTAATTAGCAAATTGTTGTCTTAAACGACTTCCGACGTCAGCGTTTCAAGGCTCAATCTATGCGTGGGAAATACAGTTGACTTCTGTAAAGAAATGTAATTGCAACAATGTTACGTCACTGTAAGAAACATAATTTCTTTTCTGGAAATAGAAGGGCCTGTGAGCCAATCGATCAAGCAACATTCACTAATCAAGCAATGTCAAGACTAAACGGACAGCAAAATATATTTCGTTGTTAATTTTTATTTATTTCTTTATTTATCCTTGGCTTTCAACAACTCAGAAAATTTTGCGTCGAATGATGCAATGATTAGAGAGTGATGAATTGGAATGGATGTCAAATGAAGCGTCCGTGGACTAATTGGAGGTACTAACATACCGTATGATGGAGGAATTGAAGAAAACTACGGAAAAAAATCTTCTCAGGCTAGGCTGTCTCTGGGCAAATATTTGAAACCTAACCTCCAAAATATGATGTAGAAGTGCTGCTAACCTGACCATGACGTTCGGTTTCGTTGTAATAACATAAAAAATACGCTTATACACGCACGCACAAACACACACAAAATGTAATGTAAAGGTGAGATGAACACTTTGAAATTACCATATTTTCGGTTACCATTCCAATGGAATATTGATCTTCAATACATTTCATGAACGCATGTTACGTTGTAGATCACGAACGAGCGAGTAATGCTTTATTTCGGTGTACCGTATCAATTATATTAGTACTGACAATATTTTGAAGTAGATATGTGAAATGTTGTATGTTATATAAAGGACACGGCTTACAGCTGACTATTTGTGCGTGTTATAGATGGCGTTACACGTTGGCCTCGTCATATCATTCGATAATATGTAGGACTGAAAAGTAACATGGAAGAAAGTAGAGGAATTTAAAGTAGGAAATTTTACGTAGAGAATGAAATCTGCCACTGACACTTAACTGGTATTACACTAGTCCTTTTAATAAATATATTAACAAAGTTGAATGGGGACCTATCGTGTTGTGTAACCCTTGATTTCCTGAACGCACGTCTTCTTTTGCTCAAATGAACACTTATTTATTTCGAAGGGAATTCCGTATATGACAGAGGTGGGATAAAACAGGTTATCGCCTCTGTGGTCTAGTAGTCACAGTTCCCAGCTACAGATTCAGAGGTTCCGAGTTCGATTCCCAGCGATAGCAGATTTTCTGAGAAATAGTGGGTCTGGAACGGGGTCCACTCAGCCTCGTGAGGAAAATAGAGGAGCTATTTCAAGGAAATAGCGGCTCCGGTCTAAAAAAGCGAGACTAACGGCCGTGGGGATCCGTTCCGCTGACCACGCGACACCCTCTAACCGCAAAAGTTAGCACTAACTTCGCCCACAAGCGGCGGTCACTCGATTGGTATAGTTCGCTTGTGGACTAAAGGCCACGGATTTTGTTTTTTGTATATTAACCTGAAGACTCTAAACACATAAATTTACATGCAACAGATTTGTCATCTAGGCGGAATGTACAGTACTATTCATTTCTTGACATAGAAAAGCTCTAAATAGGATAGTAATTCTAATTTAGGCGTTTGACCAAAATATTTAATATTAACCGATAATAAAATGGACTGTTAATAAGTTAGAACGTATTTTGAAGTAAAAAATATGAAAACTATATCAATAACGAATATCTCAAGTCAGTTTTTACTGGTATCTTGAACTCTCTCGTACGTGGCATAAACTGGACTTGTATAATATGCCGTTGCTTAGATCTGTCCAAATATTTCAAGGTCACTATTTGCTCAAGGCCTGTGCTGTACATCCAGTCTCGTATATTTCGAATCAGAATGGGGCTGTAATTAGAACACACCACTCGATGTCCGTGAAAGGTCCTGCATTCGGTCCTCTGAAAGGTCATGTTAGATTCACATACTGATATGGCGATGCTAAATACTGTCATATGCATGGAACATAGCAATATCCCACCCCTCATATATATTTCTACATCTTCTTCCTGTCATAGCAGGCAGCACTCCTGCGAAGCTGCAGTTTGCAAATATGGGTATTCAATGATCATTTGTACGAGGGAGGGTCAGTAAACAGGTCACAAATGGAAGTAAAACAGCTGTAATGGACGTAATAGGTTTTCTATGTGTATCACTAGGTAGCAGCACAGTCCAGCTTCATGAGAGTCTAGGTAGCAGACGTGCATGCGCATGTTCAGAACCTGATTTCAGTAGTCAAAATGGCGACCGTGATTGAGTGTATTACCGAAGAGCAGTGTTGCGTTCTTTTTGGCAAACGTTTCGGTGATGACGAAGAGGTTGAAAGGGAGATGCGGAAGTGGCTGAGACAACAGTCAAGAGACTTCTATGCTGCAGGTTTTGACGCGCGGGTGAAGCGATGAGATAATGTATCAATGTTGGTGGAGGATATGTCAAGAAATAATTTTTTTTTCAAGTTCGAATACCACATGTTTTATGTTGTATATCCGTTTATGCCTTGTTTACTGACTCTCCCTCGTACATACTCGTCTAATTTCGCGATTATAAATGGCAAAGTGATCGCTCTGTACAGCATGTAGTGTCTACCGTAAGTTTTCAATTAAACTTGAATAATTAACTTCATACTATAATATAACACACAATGAATATGACACATGAAATGTGATGCAAAAATCTCCTTTATCATTTCTGACTTAAATAAAAATTCAACACAGTCTGGACAGGACTAAAATATACAAATTTGGACCTAGTTATGTAAAAATACTACGAAGTCTAGTGCAATCATGCGTATTAACAGTGAATGAAATTTCGACGTTTCGGAGAATATTTCTCTAACTAACTGTATGGAACTGAGTCATTCGTGAGAAGCCTCCAGTTGCTCAGCTAATAAAGTATTTTGCAGCATTTTACGGATGAATCCGGTCCATATCAACGCATCCTATTTCTCTAAGACCAATTTTAATGTCTTCTTCCTACCTATGCCTAGGTCTTCCTAGTGGTCTCCTTCCTTCTCACTTTCCCACCAAAATTCTATATGCATTCCTGTTCTTCCCCATTCGTGCTACATGCCTCACAATTAGCCTATTTCTCCTTCTCTCCCTCCTCTCTCCTACACACACACACACACACGCGCGCGCACCCAACCAGAAGAAATACCCATCTGACTTAAGTAAAGATCTTTTTCTCAAGGTCAGTAGGTATATCCGGGCATTTTTCGCAACGCGTAATGAAGCAGAACAACCTGAAGTTTTACGGGGAATTAGAAACATTCTCCATCTGAGCGCTAGATGGACGTGAGTAGCCAGCTTCATTCTCTCACGCTCCAGTTATATTTCCCTCACGGAAAGGGCCCAAAACACCTACTGGGCAGGAAAGTGGGTGGAACCCCGAGCCGGTCTGAACTCAGTGAAGAACAGAAAATTTCTTGCCCGTGCCAGGGATCGAGCCCTGATTCCGTGGTTAACCACCCCCTTATACAAGTTACTACACCGATTATTTTGTGGTGAAATTTCATTAATTACTGGAATACAGCTCATGTATCGCTAGATCTATTCCTGAAATTTCAATGGGTGTGTCCTCGTTTCGTAAAATACGATGGTTTGTCATATTTACCTGAAGAACAGAACAAGAAATGTGAAGTCGGAATAGAAAAGCGGATTGTAAAGTTTTGAAACAAAGTGCATTAAATTTCATGGAACTAAAGAAGATAGAGTGCAGTGTGTTTAATGATGATAAAATTTCAAAGGTTAAGAATGTAAGAACGATTGTCATGAAACAAGAAAGGTGAAAAATGTTTTGGATAGGCTGAAGATAGACATCGATATAACAAAATAGTCGTTCCCACTGTTG